GTGTATGTGTGCGTGCGCGCGCAGTGCGTGTGTGTGTGTGTGTGTGTGTGTGTGTGTGTGTGTGTGTGTGTGTGTGTGTGTGTGTGTGTGTGTGTTAACTTCTAGGTGCACAAAAAGTAAGAAGCAAAAGAGGCAAAAGAAACAAGAATAACAAAAGCATGAATAATACACTCTGCACTCAACAGGGGTTTGTCAGGTGTAGATGAAATTTTAATTCGTCCAATTTACACAGCCATGAGAATGTCAATTGGTGGATGTTTAAAAGTGGTTTAAGCGCCACTGTGTTTTTTTCTGTTATCTTGACATTTGAACAGAAAAATCAGGACCCTAGGTGACCTTCGCTGGTTGAAATAACCGCTCTGCATCTTCGACCCATAGAGTTCACCGGAGTGCTTATTTGTCGACCTTAGATCTGAACTCAAACCTAGCCAATCAAGTGAGGAGTTGTCCGTGGTCGTGGTTGCTGGTGGTTGAGCTGCCTCTGGATAGCGTCCCAAACATGCTTGATTGCTGTTTTGGTCAGGTGAACAAGCATATGGAGCAAAAGATTGATTATATTGATCTGCCCTAGTAACGACTGTGTCGTACGGGCAGTGTGGGGTCTCGCATTGACTTGCTGGTAAGAGAAATTTAGATGCCTCTAGATAAAGGGTACCACATGAGGCTGAAGAATTTTGTTCAATGTAGCGCTGAGCTGTAACCCAATTTTCCTGTCCATGACTCACTTTCTTGAAAAAGACTTGTCCAGTTCGTTGATTTAGAGCGATGACTCCCTTAATCATGATGCTTGACCCTCCCCAAGGGTCTTTCTCCACGTCTTTTGTATAATTAGAGTAGCACCTCATATCTGTGCGCCACACACGGATGCGCCCGTTTCCCGGATAGAGGCAGAATCTGCTCTTAATTGCGAGCTGCACCCTTTTCCATTGTCTGTTCCTCCGGGTCATGTGAGTCTGTGCCCACTAAATCTATGGTGCCCACAGAAGCCGGTCACGGCGGTGCTGAGGGGTCAGAACTGGCCTGCGACATGGCCGTCTGCACTGGAGTCCTGTGGAGTGCAATCTCTGCTGTACAGTTCTGGTACTCAGGGTCCGTCCTCTTCGTCCGACGGTGTTCCTGGTGGACTCAGCGGCTGCCAGGAACGGGTCCATCCGGTATTGGCGCACCATGAGGCGATCTTCAGTTGCAGTTGTCGCCCTTGGTCTTCCGCCCTGAGGAGATCATTGGTTGCATAAGTAGCGCGAAACTAGTTTTGTAGATTGTAGATTGTGGAGATATGCAACCCTGTAACAGTTGCCAAATGTTCAGCAGACTCACCAGCTTTTAGTCGTCCAACGGGCCTACATGTAGCCCTCTCACGGTTTTCTGATGAAACTCCCAGAATTTTGATACATGTGCTGCATTCGTTCCACGCTGAATTCTATATTTCGACGTTTCAAATCCGTGGGCCAGGCCAACGTGACCCCATGAGCACAAACTCACCTCCCAAATGATGTGACAAGTGAGTACCTGTGAGCTGTGATAGCTGTAATACAGACTTCAACATAAGTGAAGGACCACATTGACAGACAGCCCCGATTTTTTTTTAATCCGAAAAAAGACTGCAAGGAATGTTTCAAAACAGTTTGCTCTGAAAGTGTTAATTGGTTACCAATGGTACTGCAAAGCTTTCAAAATGAGCAAAACCACCATGCGCAGCACGGAAATCCTCGGGGAATTTTAGCCAAATTTGCTGTTTTTATTGACTTATGTGCGACATCACGGACGTTCCTCAGTTAAAATCTCTGGTGCACGTGATAAACTGACGTATGGCCTCGAACTGTGCTCACTTTGGTGGCGATATAAGCCGCTGTTTGCGCAAAATCCCTTACCGCATCAACATACCAATAAGACGAAAGCTGAGAAACTCTGAAGGTGCCAGAGCTAAGGCATGGCTAGAGGATGGAGTTGGAGCCCGAGAAGTTGCCAGAAGGCCCACGGTGTCACACTCTGTCATTGTCCGCCCTGGGCAGCGCCATCAAGCAACTGGATCAGTCCAAGAACGCCCAAGTGCAGGTCGACCCAAGAAGACTACTCAGAGTGTTTGCAAGTGGTCCTTAACGTATTATGAAGTCTGTGGTTGTTTAGTTTGTTTGTTGCATAAGCGACCAATCAGGGCATTGCATTGTTCGAATGAGGCCTATCTAGCAAGTTCCGATCATGCTTCAATGGAATTGGAAGGTGAAAACAGTACTCACCACTGGAAACTTTGACCAGCACTTTAACGTCGATGAAAATTTCTCGTTTCTTTTGTCCCTGAGTATACAATTACTTTTATCCGTTTATTCTGCTGCCGATACTCAACCACCCCTCCACCTGAAAAAAAAACTATACTAACCTATACAATGACCAACGGCAAATGTTTCCTTCTATTTCTATAGTGGTATGTCTGTTAGCTTCTTACTGTTAATGATCAACTTTAAACTCTGTTTTTATTTCTTCCATCTGCTGCTGTTGCTATCCATTGTGTGCATGAAAAAGGCCAGTTTACACTTTTAAAACGAGCGTTCTAATGATGATTACCTGACGATTATAGTCATAATTTTGAGCCCAGACTTTATTTTGCGAAGCAGTACAACGCATTGACCTCCGATGTGATTTTGTCCCTTCCCCCCTCCCCCAATGTAAAGTCCATCATTATACGTGATTTTGTCCTCCCCCAGATGTAAAGTATATGCGTGGTGGAATCAGACACTCGTCAATTTTTGGGCATGAGGTGTTATTGGTACCATCGGAAAGCTTATATATTTGCCTTGCTTTAAATGAAAAAATACTCATCTATCCTGAATAGAGGCCGAGATATTTGCGATTAAAGGCGGTGGGGGGTAACCTGTTTTCAGAGGTTATGAAAGCGAGAAAATGGCTGCCAAAGTTTGGCAACTTCTATTGCTTCAGGGTCCTTGAAAACTGAAAATGTACGTATTTTGGGTCTTTAATCTACGTCTTTCAGTAAAATTCACATAGCAATGTGCGGGTCTAAAAATGTTGAGCCAAAAAACAAAATGTTGGTAAAAATTAGTAAACTGTTAGAAAAACGCCTTTTTCTTTTTTTTATTATTTTGACGAGAGCCTGATTTCACCACGATGCCTCCCATATATATGTGTCATCTATGTATATAATATATAGATATATATGTGTGTGTGTGTGTGTGTGTGTGTGTGTGTGTGTGTGTGTGTGTGTGTGTGTGTGTGC